GTTCATCTCGCTTTCAGGCCGAGGGAGCCAGTGTTTGTCCACAGACAGCTTTCTGGGTCATGTGCCCAGCATGACTAAACTGCTTCTGGTGCAACGGAACACTGTGATGGAAGCCAGAGCACATGGAAACACTGCTTACCTTCCCGCCATTGCGGTACCTATTTATCTACTTGCACTGGCCTGCTTTCAAACTGCATTGCTATCTCAGGGCCCCATCTCAAGGTTCCAACATCTCCACTTAACCTGTAAGCAAGTGATGGGGAGGGCCTCTTCCAGAAAAGTCAGAGACACGCTGCCATTTAGAGTACAGCATATTAGGCTATATGGACAAATAGGTTTTCATGTGCCAAGGAGCCTCCATGTGGAAATATCATCACCTCTGGGTTCCCAAATTATGGTCCTTGAGCTTCATTTAGGCAGTTCACAGCATATCACAGGGTATTTTATTGCATTACAGCTCAGATTCTATACAATATATAATAAATAGAAAGAAGCTATAAAAATGCAATTAAAAATAATACAGCACCTAGCATAATGCATTACAATTGCCTTAACAGGCAGAAAAACCATTAAGTGATCCACCAAGGCCTTCAGCAATTTTCAAATGGGCTTGGGTGGGGGAGAGTTTGGACTCCATTGCCCAAGCCTTTATAAAGCACAGCCCTTAACACTTTTTAAAACCATATAATTGGGAATGGTATGTAAGCCACACGGGTGGCACTGTGGGTTAAACCACAGAGCCTAAGGCTTGCCAATCAGAAGGTCGCGATTTGTGTTGTTTTTTTTAAATTAATATTTATTAAAGTTTCAGAAAAAAATAAAATCACATTAATAAACAAGAGAAATTTAAAAAGAAAAAAGAAAAATACACAATACAAAGTACAAAATACAAAATACAAAAAGATAAAAAGAGAGGGGGAAAAAACAGTTAAAAACAATTCCGTCTTTTCATAACTTCTTTTACATTTACTTGTTTCCCGGACTTCCTCATACCTCCCTCTTTTGTATTCCAATTCAGTTTGTTAGTCCAGCAATTTCTTTCCCTCCTTTTTAATCCCAATCCTTAATCTTAATATAGTATGCCATTAAATTTTTACCTATTTAAAACCAATTTTTCCATTCTTTTAACCTTTTTAATCCTAATCCTTAATCTTGATATATTTATAACTTTAAAACCTGTACAGCTAGAAGCTACTTAACTTCAATCCAACATCACTCTAACATTCATTAATTTTTAATGTTTCTGTAAATAATCTTTGAATTTCTTCCAATCTTCTTCCACTGACTCTTCTCCCTGGTCACGGATTCTGCCAGTCATTTCCGCCAATTCCATGTAGTCCATCATTTTCATCTGCCATTCCTCCAGTGTGGGTAGCTCTTGTGTCTTCCAATACTTTGCGATAAGTATTCTTGCTGCTGTTGTAGCATACATAAAGAAAGTTCTATCCTTTTTTAACACCGATTGGCTGACTATGCCCGGGAGAAAGGCCTCTGGTTTCTTCAAGAAGGTATATTTAAATACCTTTTTTAATTCATTATATATCATCTCCCAGAAAGCCTTAATCTTTGGGCACGTCCACCAAAGGTAAAAAAATGTACCTTCAGTTTCTTTACATTTCCAACATTTATTATCAGGCAAATGGTAGATTTTTGCAAGCTTGACTGGGGTTATGTACCACCTGTATATCATTTTCATAATATTCTCTCTTAGGGCATTACATGCCGTAAACTTCATACCTGTGGTCCATAACTGTTCCCAGTCAGCAAACATGATGTTATGTCCAACATCTTGTGCCCATTTAATCATAGCAGATTTCACCGTTTCATCCTGAGTATTCCATTTCAGCAGCAAGTTATACATTCTTGACAAATTCTTAGTTTTGGGTTCTAACAGTTCTGTTTCTAATTTTGATTTTTCCACCTGGAAGCCAATTTTCTTATCCAAATTGTAGGCCTCCATTATCTGATAATAATGAAGCCAGTCTCACACTTTGTTTTTTAGTTTTTCAAAACTCTGCAATTTCAATCTGTCTCCATCTTGTTCCAAAATTTCCCAATATTTTGGCCATTAGACCTCCATATTGAGCTTTTTCAAGGCTTTCGCTTCCATTGGTGACAGCCACCTTGGAGTTTTGTTTTCCAATAAGTCCTTGTATCTTATCCAAACATTAAACAATGCTTTCCTGACAATATGGTTTTTAAATGCTTTATGCGCTTTGACCTTGTCATACCACAAATATGCATGCCATCCAAATACATTGTTAAAACCTTCTATATCCAAAATGTCAGTGTTTTCAAGAAGCAGCCATTCTTTCAACCAGCAGAAAGCTGCTGATTCATAGTAAAGTTTAAGGTCTGGCAGGGCAAATCCACCTCTATCCTTTGCATCTGTTAGTATTTTAAATTTTATTCTGGGCTTCTTGCCCTGCCAGACAAATCTAGAAATATCTCTCTGCCACCTCTTGAAACAGTCCATTTTGTCCACAATTTGCAATGTTTGAAACAAAAACAGCATTCTAGGCAATACATTCATTTTTAGAGCAGCAATACGACCCAGCAGTGAAAGCTTCAAGTTTGACCAAATTTCTAAATCTTTTTTCACTTCAGCCCAACACCTTTCATAGTTGTCTTTGAATAAGTTCCCAGAAGGTCGCGATTTGAATCCCCATGACAGTGTGAGCTCCCGTTGCTCTGTCCCAGCTCCTGCCAACCAAGCAGTTCGAAAGCACGTCAAAGTGCAGGTAGATAAATAGGTACCCCTCCGGCGGGAAGGTAAATGGCATTTCCATGCGCTGCTCTGGTTTGCCAGAAGCGGCTTAGTCATGCTGGCCACATGACCCGGAAGCTGTACGCCGGCTCCCTCGGCCAATAAAGCGAGATGAGTGCCGCAACCCCAGAGTCGTCTGCGACTGGACCTAATGGTCAGGGGTCCCTTTACCTTTACCTTTATGTAAGTTATTATGATAGTTATTAGGAGAGAGTGCTGAAATGAAGGGAAAGAAGGGATTAATCCATAAAACAATGCTAACTAGAAAAAAGAAGAGTAAAGATGGAATAGGAAAGACAGAGAAACAAAGACTTGTAACTGGGGTTTTGGATTAAGAAATGGAACAGAATTAGACTAAGTGCACCTGATGATGTTTGAAGCACTGCTAAATAGTAACATGTATTTTACCCCCAGGTAATCAGATTTTTATTTTATTTTACAGTATTGTTTTTCTGTGAGGTTGGTTAGTCTGAGAGACAGCTCATGGCTGCAGCATCCAATCCAATTTTTGAACTTTATGGTTTTGACTCTTTCCCCCACCACCTGCATACTTTGTCTGTCATCTGACCTGCTGAAGATGGAGGGCTCGAAAGCTTGCTCAGTGTTGTGCGACGTTTTGGTTGACCTAAACAAAAGCATTGCCCAACTGTGGATCTGAGAATTTTTCCTAGGGCAGGGGCTCCCAGATGTGGGAAACCACAACCCAGAAAGCCCTCACATAACTACCGTATTTTTCGCCCCATAGGGCGCACCGGCCCATAAGGCGCACCTAGTTTTTTGGAGGGGAGATAAAGAAAAAAAAATTATTTCCCCCCCAAGGTGCGAGGCTGGGGCGGGGGAAGCCTGAGCTTCCCCCGACCCCAGCCCCCAGAACAGGCTGCTCTCCGCAAGCCGTGGGAGCCCTCCCGCGGCTTGCGCAGAGCTACCCGAAGCCCCGGCGCGACTGCTCAGCGCGCCGGGGCTTCAGGGTGCAGGTAGCTCTGCCCAAGCTGTGGGAGCCCAGGGGAACTCCTGCGGGCTCCCACGGCTTGCGGATAGCTTCCTGAAGCCTGGAGAGGGAGAGGGGTCAGTGCGCACCGACCCCTCTCGCTCTCCAGGCTTCAGCAAAAGCCTGCATTCGCCCCATAGGACGCACACACATTTCCCCTTCATTTTTGGAGGGGAAAAAGTGCGTCCTATAGGGCGAAAAATATGGTAGTTGCCTGTCATACTTCATATGGTGGGATGATCACAAAACTGGCCTCCTAGGATGAGCTTAAAGCAGAGAGGGGACATATTTCATTGTTTGTAGTTACAGTTGTCAGGATAGGACTGAGAAGACCCAGGTTCAAATCCCCACTGCAAGGAAAGTCCGCTGGGTAACCTTGGGCCAGTTATATCCTCACAGCCTAATTTACCTCAGCGTTGTAAGGATAAAAGGGGGAAGGGGAACAAACCCTGTAATCTTCCCTTGACATCCTGGCGGAATGGTGGGACAGAAAAACAGTAAAGAGACAAAATAATACAGTGGTACCTCAGGTTAAGTACTTAATTTGTTCCGGAGGTCCTTACTTAACCTGAAACTGTTCTTAACCTGAACTTAACTTTAGCTAATGGGGCCTCCTGCTGCTGCCGCGCCGCCGGAGCACGATTTCTGTTCTCATCCTGAAGCAAAGTTCTTAACCCAAGGTACTATTTCTGGGTTAGCGGAGTATGTAACCTGAAGCGTATGTAACATGAAGTGTATGTAACCCGAGGTACCACTGTACTGCTGACCATTTCTGCTCTAATGCTGAGATAACTCAGTTGCTCCAAAAGCCCCATTCCAAACTAAGTGAACATGACCCACTGTCAGACTGCGCTGTATGTCTGCAAGGCCTCTCCATCAGTTCTGTTAAAAGACAGCTGCATCAAGCCGCTCCCTCAACTGTCAGCAGACACTCAGTCAGGTGGATAGAGATAGAGAGACTGGACTGCAGGACCCTCTCCGTTGGCGCTGCTGAATGAGCAGCAGCTTTTGAGTCATCTCCAAATTTTCCGTTCCTGCTGTTCACTACAAGAGCTCTGTGAATAAGAATTAGTGCCTGATCTTGCTTTTTTCCCTCCTCCCTCCCAATCCCTTTTCCTCTTGTGTCGTGCTGCTTAGATGGTGAGTCTGAAAGCGGGGCTTATATTTGTAAGTTGCTCTAGAAGCCTTTTTCAGTGGAAGAGTGGGATAAAGATGCCCCCTCTGTTTTCCCCATTAAAACCCAAGCCCCAACACCTCTTGCTGCAGACCCAGCTTGCTCATCTTTACTCTTCGGAATTTACATTCTCGTGGGGCTAGTCTTGGCAGTAGCTGCAGTGCTGTGCATTGTAATCCTGAAACAAAAGAGGAAGAAGAGGATGCGAGCAGCTGAAAAGGAGAATTCTACAGGTAGGCATTGCCAGTCTTCCCAACAATAGATATTCACCCATTTGGGGAGTTACCATCTAGTTCCAATCCAATGGCATACACACAACAAGCCATACAATGCACGGTTATTGCCTGCAAAGTACTGAGAGCAGAACTGATTCGTCTTATTCTAATTATCTGTTAGCGATCGCTAGGGGCATCTAAGTGCCAATTGCTCCATAAATGACTTTGCTCACCAGTATTAATCATTTTGATTATGGTGCACATGCACACATCATTTACTGATATATCCTTGGATTTGCCCTTGGATAACCAAAAGCAGGAATGGCTTTCCCATTACCACGTGATAGTTTGTTGGCTTTACATTCCTTGGACCTAACTGCATTTACAGCAGAGCTTTCCAAACTTTTCATATTGGTGATACTTTTTAGACATGCAACATTTCACAACATAGTAATTCAGTTTTTCTAGGAAACTGGAGGTTAAACTCACCCCTTTTCAGCCCCAGGAAGAGTGCGGGGAGCGTTTGCGCGACACACCTACACACTGCAGTGGACACACTAATGTGTCACGGCACACCATTTGGAAAGCTGTGATTTACAAGCTTAACCTGGCTGTACCTCTTCCAGAAATATCCTGGGAAATGTAATTCCATTGGCAGTGGTAGAAATACTTAACAGAGTGGTCTCAGCTCCTCCACAAACTACAATTCCCAGCATCATGGGAGTTCAAAATGATATAAATTGTGCTTGTCATGTACCTGTGTCTTTTGTTTCTGACCTTTCCCCCATGATCTCACCTTGGATATTTCAGGGCTTGCCCCCTTCCACCAGCATGCTACAAGGGGGCTGACTTTGGAGCTGTTCTTTGGGAAAACTCTTCCCGTCTCTCTTCCCAGCTACTGTTGCCTAGGCAACTGAAGCCCATGGCAGCCTATGGCCTGCTTGGGAGTAGGGGGTGACTAGGAAGGGAAATAATTTTGTGACCAACAGTTCTTTTGTAAGCCACCTTGAGTCCCATCAGGGGAAAATGGCAGGGTACAAATAAACATATAAGAAGAAGAATTCTTCCTGGATAGACCCTAGAACAATCTTGAATGGGTTGGAGAAGTAACAGCAGGAAGGATTCACATCTGGGTCCAATTTCAAGGCAACTGCCTGGGCTATTCAGGGGCCAATGCCAGTCCCATATATCTTAGTTCACTTTCCTCTTTTATTATCATGTTCTGCTTAACTGAGTTATGATTTTCTTCTTGTCGCCTCATACAAGACGTCCCTGAAGATTTCAGATGCTGTGAAGAGGGGAATGCTAATGGTGAGCACGGAGGGAACTTTTGTAAGAGTATAACCTAGGGGCGAGGCTAGGAAACCCTTTTCAGCCCTACTGGGCAACCTTAATGGGGGAAGGCACATGCCACTGACATGCGGGGCCACAAGGAAAAGCGGGTGGAGCAATGAAGGTAAAGGACCCCTGACCATTAGGTCTAGTCATGGCCGACTCTGGGGTTGCGGCGCTCATCTCGCTTTACTGGCCGAGGGAGCCGGTGTACAGCTTCTGGGTCATGTGGCCAGCATGACTAAGCCGCTTCTGGCAAACCAGAGCAGCGCACGGAAACACCGTTTACCTTCCCGCCGGAGTGGTACCTATTTATCTACTTGCACTTTGACGTGCTTTCGAACTGCTAGGTTGGCAGGAGCAGGGACTGAGCAATGGGAGCTCACCCCGTCGCGGGGATTCGAACCGCCGACCTTCTGATCGGCAAGTCCTAAGCTCTGTGGTTTAACCCACAGTGCCACCTGCGTCCCCAGTGTAAATGTTACCTTTGCATATTAGGTAAGGTTCTGTAGCCACTCACACACCCCTCTCCATCCTCCATCCAGGGGAGCTAGATGAGATATTATCAGAGTTCAAGAACACATTTCAGCCAGGCAAAAACACTCAAGGAAGGGGTGAAGAAACCATCAGTAATGATTGTGGGCTGGGGAGGGGCTGTGGGCTGCAGAAAGCACAGAGGGTCAGAGAAGAGAGCATTGGAAAGCAGCACCCAGCCCACAGACCTGAGGTGCTTCACTCCCTGACCTATAGACATTGCTGCTGCTGATGTTCTAAAAGGCAAGGGGGCCTCTTATCCTACACTTCTCTACTGCTTTCACATTTCTCATTAAGCTGTTTCTCTTTCAGAAAATGAGAAGTGTGTCATTGCCTTTGAAAATGAACCTCACAAAGGCCACAGTAGCAGTCCAGGAGATGGCGATCCTGAAATACTTAGGTGCCCACATTCAAATGATGCTTTAAACACTGCCAGAGATGACGCCTTAAAGAGAGAAGTGCAGCATATTGCTATGGCAGGAAGTGATGTCACGGAGGCAGCTTCCCTGACTTCCTGTGATAAAAAATGCAACCCCACCTTTCCACTGCCGGCAACGGAACTCGGGGCAACTGAGTTGGTGACCACCAAGACTACTCAGGAGAGCGTCATCTGGGACGAGGAGGAGTCGGAGTCATAGCAACAAGTTCTAGAGGGCTGAGTCTTGAAGACTCTCCCTCAAGCATCATAAAACTCCCTTTCAACTCAAAAGAGGAGTAGTGGATGGACAGATTTACAAAGGGCTTGCCTCATTGTAACTGGAAGGGAGTTTGTTATTTCCCACATTGTAAGATGTTGAAACAGTCTTTTAGCTGCCAGAAACTCCCAGCAATTGCTTTAAGAAAAAGGAGACTACTGGGGCACTTTATACCAAGGGCAGGAGATTTCAAGCCTGGCTATTCTTATTGGCCCTACTCAGGGCCCCCTTGGAGGGCTTTTACCTGGCTGGAATGTGCCCCTGAACTGTGACAATTCCTCTTGCTTGCCTGGATGTAGGTGTGTGCATGTGTGTGAGAGAGTGTGAACTGCTGTTTTTTGGCAGAGCTGGAATGCAGCCTGCTGTACAAAGGAGAGTCACTTCCCCTGCACCACCCATTTATGTCTCTAGCCATTCCCACTACTGCCATCCCCACTGCTACTGCACCCCACCCCAACAACAAAATGTGGTCCTTGGGTTGAAAAGCGTTTTCCCACCCTGCCAAGGCATCCCTCCTCTGTAATGTTTTGAATTGGAGAAGCTCTGGAAAATGTGTATCTCATGGAATAAAATGATTGCTTTGAGCTCACATTTACCTTAATCTTAATTTCCGCACCCTGAAACTCCCCTGGCAATATGATGGTGAGTTATTAAGTGGAATGAAAAATGATGACTGCAAGTGGACAGAAATACCCAGTGGAAGTTTAAATGAGCTATTTGAACCACTAAGGAGCATATTTTTTAATGTTTAAAATTATTTTTATTCCACAGTGTTATATAATTCTTTTTGAAAACAGCTTTGATTGTGTGTGTGGTTTTTTTTACAAGCAAGCGGTGTATAAAATTTATGAAATAAGATAAAATAAACATTGGCAATATAAGATGTAAGACTGCATATTTACTTTAGATGTAATACAAAATAATTTGAATGTGGCATACGTACACTCAATGTCTAGTGGTCCTTATTCTGCAATACTCTTGTTGTCCTTCAACATTTAATAGCTTAATGAAACTGGACTTTTTCTTTTTTACCTTCAGCCCACAACTTTACAATTCTGTTCTTTCTCTTTTCTTAATCCTGGTCAAGGAATGCCAAACATGGTAGGTCCCAATTTTTTTTTGGGGGGGGGGATTACAGATCGTATGGGTAGTCCAAAGGGCACTTTCTTGTACAGCTACAAAGCTTTTATTAAAATCAGCTTTAAATACTCCTATAAAATAACCCCCCCACAAATATTTCTTAGGGTTGAAAACTTAACTGCAATGGGTCTGAAAAGTGTTAGAGAAAAGGAAGGAAGGTAGGGTATGGCCAGCTGAGGTCCTGCAGGACCATGGACAGAGATCTGGGCATCTTGCTATAGATATAGCGAGTATATCTTCTCAAATCTCCTCCCCATCCTCTCTCTCTCACACACGTAAAAGTTTTATGTTCCACAACTCAGTTTAACAGGATGCAGATGGTATGACCAGGTGAAGGGAGGCTGAGCTTCTAAATCGTTTTTATAAATGCATATCCTGTGGCAAAACTCACTATGTTCAAAGGGGAAGTAGATATGCAAAATATCTGAGATACTTTGCTAGACTGAACTGATCTACCACAGCGCTCTCTCTCCATCAGAAGCTACCTATTAGCCGGTCCCAGCCTAGCATGTCTCCTTGATAAGCTGCATTCTGCAAGAGAGTTTCTTCTTCAAGTCCCCCAAAATCCATAACTACTAGCCATCATTGCCATAGTGCTCTGAAGACCAGTTGCTCAAAGCCACAGGAGGGGAGACTGCTTTCGTGCTGGGGTCCTGCATGCAGACTTATCATAGGCATCTGATTGGCCACTGTGAGAACAGGATGCTGGAGCAGATGGCCTGATCCAGGAGGCTGCTCTTGTTGTTGTTTAGTCATTTAGTCGTGTCCGACTCTTCGTGACCCCATGGACCAGAGCACGCCAGGCCCTCCTGTCTTCCACTGCCTCCCGCAGTTTGGTCAAATTCATGTTAGTAGCAAACATCTCATCCTCTGTTGTCCCCTTCTCCTTGTGCCCTCCATCGTTCCCAACATCAGGGTCTTTTCCAGGGAGTCTTCTCTTCTCATGAGGTGGCCAAACGTATTGGAGCCTCAGCTTCAGAGGCTACTCTTAGGTTCTGACAAAAACAATTGAAGGTGTTTTCATTTCAACAGGTTTCTCCAACTGAGCAAAAATGCCTCTACCTGTGGAGCTTGTTCTGTATTGCTTTAAAACCTGTCTTTCGTTCTTCTTCTCTCTTTTTTTGTACTTTTAAAATTTTGTTTCTAGTTGTTTTTATATAAACCTCTATGAGATTCATGTGGAGGACAAATAAATTAATAAAGTAAATAATATATAAATATGTGTGGATAGGAATGTTTGTCTTTGGGCGCCTGGTAAATGCAAGATTGATTGGATTGCAGGAGGTCTGCTAGTTTTGTCCCAGACATGCTAACAGCCTGTCACAAGCCTCTGTTGTCTTCTTCTCACTATCCTGCCAGGAAGTGTTTGTTAATGTGACTCTGATCACCTCATGGTGCCTCTCTCTCTCTCTCTCTCTCTCTGTCTCTCTCTCTCTCTCTCTCTGTGTGTGTGTGTGTGTGTCTGTTGTCTAGGGTCGTGGAGGTGAGCATGGTGACAGCTGCTCTCATCTCTCTGTGTAAGTTTTCACTGACATTTTTCCGCAGTTCCCTTTCATGAACAAGACAAAAACCTCTCCTTTCAAGACAGAGTCTGTATTGTGTTTGTTTGAATACATTATTAATTTCTCTGCTTGGGGGGGTGGAGGCGGGAAATCTTACCTGGCTTGTGCTGATTTGCAACACAAGAAGAGTCTTAGAAAATCCCAGTGATAGATGGAGGGGTTGGCAAGGGGGGCGAGGAGAGAAGGCAAATCTTTTCACTGCAAAAGAAAAGCCCCAACAACATCCACAAAACCCCACAGCATGAATAGAGCATTTTGCTTTCTGTGAATGTGGCTCCAAACAGATCTTCTGTTGTTAGGAGTGAATGGATTGCTTTGGTGCAAAGAAAGGAATCTTACAGTAGATCTCTAGGCAGTATGTGGCAAATTGGCAAGATTTCTGACTTCAAGTGGTTTAACAGCAGCAGCAACAGCTATGAAATTTTCTAAATTAGGCTGCTGAAACAAACAAACAAATAAACAAACAAACAGCAAGGTTTACCCTGGGGGTGTGAGCCAGGAGTGAATTTTTGTGGGGAAGGACTTCTATGAGTTCAGTTCAGGTTCTGAAAATAAGTACCTGAGATAAGCATGTATTCAGAGGCAATGTGTACACACATCTGACTCCAGTAGGTGAATTTCGGGGTTAGGAACATACAGACATAGGAGCTGTCTTATCCCAAGTCAGATTAATGATTCATCTAGCCCCGCATAATCTACACTGACTGGCAATGGGTTTCCTGGGTCTATTATTATTATTATTATTATTATTATTATTATTATTAATTTTATTAATTTTATTTATTTCATAAAATTTGCATACCACTTGATTGTTGAAAAAACCCTCAAAGTGGATTACAAAAAAGATAAAACAATACAGTTATCACTTAAAAAATTACAACCGTAATTAAAAACTTACAGAATGTTAAAACCACAATAGAACAGACTAGAACAAATGAAAACTCATACAAACTTTCTAAACACCCAGGTAGGCTTGTCTAAATGAAAATGTCGAAGTGCTGGTGCTGCCACACTAAACTATTGAGTTGTTACAGGTGCAGTGTGGGTATTATGTGGCCCCTTTCAGGGGAAAAATGGGGAGCAAATGTGATTACAGAGTGGGAAGAGTCAGGTCCTGCTTGCAAGCGTCCCATAGGCATCTAGTTGCTACTGTGAGAACAGGATGCCCGATGGGCCTTTGACCTGGTCCATCAGGGCTCTGCTTTGGTTCTTATATGCTGTTAATCAGAAGGTGCCCTCCTGTCACCAGGTGGCACTCTTTTACCACATGCCTCACGAAAAGAGTTCCTCAGGTAGAGAGGCTCAGCACTGTGATTGGTACCTGGCTGGTTTTAGACCTCCTGGCTTTTTTGTGTGTCCGGATTGGCCACCATCCAAGACTGTAGAGAGGCCTCTGGCCCTATTATTATTATTATTATTATTATTATTATTATTATTTTAAAAATTGTCAGAGCTGTAATCAGAAAAGATCTTGGTGACTGCTCTTATCTATCAAGGGAGGGAAATGGGGGCAGCGGGCTGTCAGGTGTTTGAGAAACATGGCACAAGGGACTTTTGACAGGCGAGAGGAACCTGTGAAAGTTGGCCCTCAGGGGGTGGGAACTGGTAGTGATCTGGTTCTCCGAGCCAAAAAGTTTCCTCACCACTATTCTAGGTTAATGAAATACTTTGGAATGTAAGGGGGAAATCTATTTGGAAGGGAGGAGTGGACAGAGTTTCCTCATGCTGCCCAAACACTTACTTACCCCCACCCTAAAAGGGCTGGCAGTGGCACAGAATCCAAACTGCAGACTGACTGACACAGACATATTTTTCTGGCATAGACATAATTTGATCGGCAAGGTTGATGCCAATTCAACCTGTGCAATGCCATCCTTCATTTAAAAGGTACTGTTTGTGTGTCCATCACTTGTCCAGCAGCTGGACAAAGGAGATGCTACTGAGGAGAAGGTTGCCAGGAGAAAAGAAGTAACCTGCTGAGGAATAATATCCTTGGGGAGCACAAATTATGTAATTTTTAGCTCTTTCATAGCTGACAGCAGGCTCAGCAACTGTTCTAACATCAGCAGTTTGCATTCCCAACAGAGCTGTCCGACTAGCAAAGCCAAAGAGTCATTTATGAATTTCAACAATGCACCCATACAAACACTGGGGTGGAGTGGGGGAGGGGAGTAGCCAGATACCCCCCTTGCATTTACTGACTGACTATCCAATAAGTATTAGCAGAGGTCATTAAGTGCTTTCCTTTCGGCACCCCTGCACAAAGACCCTAATTTAGCAGAGCTGAGAGAAAGCTGATGCTATATATTTATTTGCAGCTAGTGGGCTTAATTATTACCATGATTAATCCCTATAGCTCCTGAGTAGTTACTTAATTATCACCGTGATTAATCCCTATAGCTCCTGAGTAGTTACTAATAATACCAACTTGGGGTATTATTTCACCACAGATGTTATTTGGGGAGGGGAGTGAATGTGATATCGGGTTGCTTCAACTTTTATTGTTTAATCCAGTCTATATTAATGCAGAAATAAATCTCATGAAGTTCAGTGGGACCTGCTACCTTTGGAAGAAACAGTCTATAGGAGTTGGTTACATGTATTGTTGTTGTTGTTTAGTCATTTAGTCGTGTCCGACTCTTCGTGACCCCATGGACCAGAGCACGCCAGGCACTTCTGTCTTCCACTGCCTCCCGCAGTTTGGTGAGACTCATGCTGGTAGCTTCGAGAACACTGTCCAACCATCTCGTCCTCTGTCGTCCCCTTCTCCTTGTGCCCTCAATCTTTCCCAAAACCAGGGTCTTTTCCAGGAAGTCTTCTCTTCTCATGAGGTGGCCAAAGTATTGGAGCCTCAGCTTCACGATCTGTCCTTCCAGTGAGCACTCAGGGCTGATTTCCTTCAGGATGGATTGGTTTGATCTTTTTGCAGTCCACTGGACTCTCAAGAGTCTCCTCCAGCACCACAATTCAAAAGCATCAGTTCTTCAGCAATTTTTTATGGTCCAGCTCTCACTTCCATACATTGTTGTTGTTTAGTCGTTTAGTCGTGTCCGACTCTTCGTGACCCCATGGACCAGAGCACGCCAGGCACTCCTGTCTTCCACTGCCTCCCGCAGTTTGGTCAGACTCATGTTT